GATGGGACATACCGTTCCCATGATGAGACGAATAGATCTCTGGAACTATAATTCATTGATTATTATTTCAAATTAAAAAATCATTTTATTACATATATATATATAATATACTTATAGACAATACCTTTAACTTCGTATGATTGATATTGAACAATGAAAACCGTCCTTCAGTTAAATATTACAATCGATAATATCGTCGGATATTGCCAAGAACGTGACATGACCGGGCAATATTAGATTTATCTGACACAGCGAACTGACGTAGAAAATGTAGATAGAAAGAGAGAGAGAGAAAGAAAGAGAGAGAGAGAGAGAGAGAGCCATAGCTTCCTTTGTATGTGTATGTATTTTTTTCCTTTTCCTATTTATCTTTTTTTTCCACCCCATTTTCTTTCCTTATTTCTTTCCTTATATTTTTCTTCTTTTTCATTTTCTCTCTCTCTCTCTCTCTCTCTCTCTCTCTCGCAAGATTCTCGTCGAAAGATTCCTTTTACGCGAGGCACAAACTCGAGGCTCTGAACGGAGTGACTCGCGTGCTGTGGATTCTTTCGATGTCCCGCTGTAGTGGCCGCTCTCGTCAAACGACTTCCGGTAATCGTGCTAGCAACTCGTACGATGCCGCAAAAAGTCTATCTGGGTGAGGACCACCTGCCGTCCTTCGACTACTTTCACGAGTCATTTTTTTTTCCTCTCTCTCTCTCTCTCTCTCTCTCTCGCTTTTCTGTATCCGCGGAATGCACGATTAGTAGCGCTACGTTAAACTTATATGTTTAACTTGAAATTCCAAAGAGAGATGTACCACGTAATTCATGGAAATTCTTTCGTAATATTTTTCAAGGTCGAATCGACGATACAAATCCAAAGTTCCAAAGGGTTTTTTATCTTTTTATTCATTTCAATTTTTACTAAGTAGAAAATCGCAACGACTAATCGAATTCTCAAACACTGTTTCAATATAATTTTTGTATTAGAGAACCTGATCAGGAAGTTGAAAAAAGAAAAAGCTATTTCTTATATGTGATAAATTTATTTAGCATTACGATTGCCCAACTCTAATATAAATTATGTATTTATGAATAAAGAAAAATTGCAATTTAGAAGAAATGAAAAAGCGAAAGGAAAAATTCAATATTGTATTATTATATAACAGTAATAATTTTAATATTATTTAAAGTATTAGAAATAATTAGATCGTCATATGATATTATTCTCTCCGATGACATGAATCGAATCAAAGAAAAATTGTTGATTTAATGTAAAACAAAAACGAAAACCAAACAAAACAAAAAATGTAATATTCAAATAACCACCTTTAAATATTTAATATGAAAAATGAAGTGACTATAATTTGAATATTAAGAGAAACAAACAAATTTAATATTCATCCCTAATGTAAACGTTGAATGATTAAAATCTACATAAAACAGCGGTCATTTAAATAATCAAAGCATAAATAATTGAATTGTCATTCAATCGTTTTGCGATGACACGTGAATCGAACGAGGAGAAGAAATTTTTTTCATTCGTAAAAAACAAAACAAAAAAAAAAAGAAAAAAAAAAGAAACTTTAACACCATCGAAGTATCTCGTTTGGAAATGTTTTTCATACAATGTCTTGTATGGAAAAAGAAAAAACCTCCCAAAAAATATATACCTGGCTATAATTTCAAATAATATTATCATATGAGAAAAACAAAATGCCGGATTATTGTAGCGTGCGATTAATCGACGAAGGAAAAATTGTTTAATTTGAGACGGGGTGGAGAAGGAGGGGGAGGAGGAGGAGGAGGAGGAGGAGGAGGGAAAAGAACACAGAAAATAAAACAAAGAAAAAGAATAGAAATAAGAAACGAAAGAATTTGATATTTACCCTGACTCGAAGAAAAGGCAGCATCCGGAAGAGTCTGTCCATGTGGATGTGGATGAGGATGACTCGGTGGTACAGCAGCGGCGCCACCATGTGGATGCGGTGCCGCAGGTGGATGAAGAACATAAGAAGCAGTAGGATAAGCGACGGTTCCTACGTATCCTCCGGACGTACTAGAAGACAGTTGTTTTCTTAATCTGGCTCGTCTATTGCTAAACCAAACTTGGATCCTTGCCTCCGTCAACTTTGTCCTCTGTGCTAATTCTTCTCTCGTATATATATCAGGATATTGGGTTCTCTCAAATGCACGTTCTAATTCGTCCAATTGATGTGCGGTAAAAGTCGTTCGACTACGTCGTTGCTTTCTTTTCAATGGAATACCTGGCTCGCTCTCACAATCAGAACCTGAACTGGCTTTAACTGAAAATTGAAATGTAAAAGAGAAAGGAATGAATAAATTGAAAAAAAAAGAAAAGAAAAAGAAAAAAAAGAAAAGGGAGAGAGAGAGAGAGAGAGAGAGAGAAATTTTAACACTTACATATTAAATCATTTTCAATGCCGTTAAATAAAAAGACATGGAATATTTTTCAGATTATTTATAATGCATTAATAATTAATCATATGATTACATCGTTGCTTATTAAAATATTAAGGTTAATGTTAAAATAATTTTAATGATTACATCTATACTTTCGTTTGTGTTTGTGTATGTGTGTGTGTGTGTGTGTGTGTGCATCTGTATGTGTCTGTTTTTGTTGTATAAATAATATATACATATTTAATGATATTTCGAAGATTGGAATTGTATTTTTTTTTTTTTTTTTTCTTTTTTTTCTAATAAAAACTAAGTCTAATGTAAAACGTGTGATAATGTGAATTCTGTTCTATCCTTTATTTATACGAAGTTATGCAAGATATTAATTAATTATATGTAGAGATTTATATAATATTGCATCGGCAATCAACGTGTTAACGCTTAAAGATAATAATTTTTTTCCAATAATATAATATATATATATATATATATCTATATATTTCTTTGATATTTATATTTAATTATATTATTATGTAATTTAATTAAATATGATATAACGCGCACATGCACATACATATATATATATATATATATATATATATATATATATAAATATGTAATGTATATATAAAATGTATGTATAATATTAAATATAAGAGAAGCAAGAAAAAAGGAAAAATAAAACGGAAAAGGAATAAGTTTATTTTTTGTTTCTCTCTTTATCTCTCTTTATCTGTCGCATCGTAACTAATCGTGCGACGCTCGACGTCCCGACGCCGAGACGCAGCGTGTTTAACGCGAATTCGACACGGACTCTATTCTCAGATGAAAGAGACGAAGATAGAGAACGAGAGGAAGAGAGAAAAAAAAGAGGGAGAGAGAGAGAGAGAGAGAGAGAGAGAGAGAAAGGAAAAATCCTTTTTTGATCTTTTTTGCATTTAATAAACTCGCTATATGAAATTCGTGAGTATGCAACCTAAATATATATATATATATATATATATATATATATATATATATATGTATATAAATCTATACATAACCCTTTCCGACTTATTATTTTTCCAAAAAAAGGGAAAGAAAAAGTAAGAGAAAAAATATTCTCTACTCTATCATGAAATGATTTGTTTCTACTTTTATTCGAGATAAAGCAAACGGGATGTGACGAAAGGACGCTTCGATCGAGCTCGTACCACTTAATATAGGTTGAAACGCGTAGGTTAATATAGCATGTTCGAACTTTAAATTACAAGCTTCACGTTAGCGTTTAGTCTTCGATGGTATGCAATTTTTTTCCCCAGATTTCTTCACCTAACTGCAACGTGGGACGTACATACATACGTTGAAAGAAGGAGGAAGCTACTACATAAAAGTTAATGAGTTAGAGGGAGAGAGAGAGAGAGAGAGAGAGAGAGTAAGAAAAATACATGAATGAAAAAAAAAGAGAGAGAGAGAGAGAGAGACAGAGCAAGAAAAAGAAGATATTACAAATCTTTCTTCGAGAGCGTTCTCCTTTGCAATTTATAAATCACACTAGTAATATATTCCTCGATCTTCAAGGCCAAACGATAAATAAATGATTCACGCGCTGATAATTTTAATTGCTATAGTTCTCCTTGGATCGGCACGCGCGTCTTTTATAACGCCGGGTAATTACAATAAAAAGACACAAATCTGTGGACGTTAAATTTACATATATTTTATTGATGGCGATAAATATCTAATAGATGTTAGGTGAGGCATGACCATGCTTTTAGATCGATTAGAATCTATCCTAATGTACATGTTCGTAATCTATTCTATATTTTTTTCTTTTTTTGCTTTTATTTGAAATAAATATTTCAATAACAAAACTGTCCGACCTAATTCGATCGTATTTGTATAATCATTTAAAAATCTTTTTTATTTTTTTTCCTTTTTCACGTTTGTTTCGCTATAATTATTTTAATGAGATTTTCAAACCTCTCGTATTTCGATGGATTTGATAATTTCAGTATAATAAATCGATTATCAGGTGTTCCGCAGTTTTTTTTTCCTCTCTCTCTTTTTTTCTTTCTTCTTTAATAAACATATTCAGTCTTTTGCGTTCAATTCGTTTTTTAATTATCTTTCTCTATCTTTATTTATAAAGAGACTTTTCAGGCGGTAGATTTGCACGACGGTAAATAAAAAAAAAAAAAAAGGAGTAAAAAAAAAAAAAAAATAGAAGAAGAAACAAAAAAGAGAATGAAAACAATTTGAAATTGACGCTTATGCATAAAAAGAAAAAAAAAAAAAAGAGAAAAATCTCTTGTGTTAAGTTTTAACATTCGAATAATACAAACGAAACAATTATCAATACCGTTTATTATTTTTTCTTCTCTCTCACTCGCAACGCGCTTAATCTATCTACGAGGTATATATTACTTCTTTTTGTTTTTTTATACATTTTCCTTTCTGTTTTTTCTCTTTTTTTTTCTTCTTTTTTTCTTTTTTTTTTTTTTTTTTTTAACGAAAGCCGTCTATCAAAACGATCGACTTACCCGACTTTGGTCTCTCTCTCTCTCTCTCTCTCTCTCTCTCTCTCTCTCTCAACTTTCTCTCTTTCTCGCTCATTTCTCGTTGTTCCTTCCTTTCATCTTTGCCGGCCAACAGCCTTCGAACGATCCCACAACGGCCTTCGGTCGTCGTACACATTTCATTTGTCTTGTCAGGAGGGTGCACACGGCACAACCCCCCAAGGCGCTGATTCCTTGCTCCGAACCCCCCGTTCCCCCTCCCCTTTCACCCACCAAGAATAAGTTACTTCCGTAGCTTGCTTATTATTTTTTGTTTTTTGCTTTTTTCTTGTTTCTTTTTTCTCTCTTTTTTTTTTTTTTTTTACTTCTAATTAACACGATCGAATCGTTTAATTAAACTATGTTACTTCCTAATAACATATCTTTATGATAATTTTCATTTTTTCTCCCTCCCTTCCCTCCCCCAACCCCTCTCACTCACACTCATCCAATTCACTCCATCCCTCGGCTACCCTTCGCTCCTCCGTGATATTGAACTATTAATTGTCTTTCTTCGTTTGTTTGTTTTTCTTTCTTTCCTCCTTTTTTTTTCTTTTTTTTTTTTTTCTTTTTTCTTTTTTCTTTTTATAAAAATTACAGACAAAAGAAAGAAAGAAAGAGAGAGACAGAGAAGTGAAGAACGAAGGACATATGAAAAATGAAGTTTGAAGTTCGTTCCTCCTTTTCTTTTTCTTTCTCTTATGGAGGACAGATGGTCAAATTTCTTGCAGACTGTTGTGTCCATGAAGTAAGAAAGAAATATATATATATATATATATATAGAAAGAGAGAGAGAGAGAGAGAGAAAGAGAGAGAGAGAGAGAGAGAGAGAAGAAGAGAGAAAGAGAGAAAGAGAGAGAGAAAGATATATAGAACGATTACTGGCGCGCGTACATTTACGCGTCCACAAGAAAACACGTGGGCATGTACAGGGCGGCAAGAAAATTACAGAGCCCCAGGCCGAACTCATGGCTACCGACCGACGGCATCGCTGATCCTTCGACGTTCTGAACGAGAGAACCGGTAATTTCTGAGATCGAGAAACGCGGGGCTGATTAATGCGCGAGCATTTAATTTATTCATTCACCGTTTTCAGATCCAGCGTGCTACTGCCTTCCACAAGACACCATTTCCTTTTATTCCTCTTCTTCTTCTTCTTCTTCTTCTTCTTTTTTTCTTCGTCTTATTCTTATATTCTCCTTCTGTATCTTCTTCTTCTTCTTCTTCTTCTTCTTCTTCTTCTTCTTCTTCTATTTCTTCTTCGTCTTGGTAGGTCGATCAGATGATCACGAAGCTTCAGCAATGTACCCGGGAAATTTAAATCTCGTTCGAGATACTGCTCACCGTTCTCCTTTTGAATTTTTGTTATAAAACAAGTAATCGTCGATGAGACCAACTACCCTAATGGAATATAGGTGTGTACCACCCTACTTATCCTACTACTATCAACAACATTCGCTCGCATAGCCTCGGTATCATTATAATCGAATTCCCTTGAAGAGCACTACTCGGAGAATGGTTTTGCCGATTCCCACGGATCATCAATCTTGTTTACGACTCAGAAAGAGAGAGAGAGAGAGAGAGAGGGAGGGATAGATAGTGAAAAAGAGAGTAAGATAAAGAGAGAGAGAGAGAGAGAGAGAGAGAGAGAGAAGAGCCCAGCATCTCTCCAGAGAAAAGAAATCTTCCAAGAAAATTAGTCCAGAGAGAACGATTGAAAGAAGATTGCTTACCGTGAATTGCCAACTGAAGAATTTCCAAAATTTGAACGCAAACGATCTCTCTTGATCTCTTATGATCATTGTTTTCTTTTCATTAATATTATACAATAGACGGTGCGATTATGATTGATAAAATGATGATCGTAAATGTGTTCGACAAACTATACTTCGATTTTTTATCATGTCGATCGTCATTTATCTCGATCGATAAAATAACCAAAGCGATTTCCTTGATTCTCCTTAATCACAGCCATCGAAAGACTCAACCGTGTCGGTCGATCAAACATGAGATAAATCGTGTGATCTCGATGGAGGGTAATATTTAAGAAAGAGAAAAAGAGAGAGAAAAAGAGAGAGAGAGAGAGAGAAAGAATGAAATAATTATTTATTTCCATCGATTTTTTAAGAAAGTTTCCGTTTATGGAAAGTAGATAAAAACGATTAAAATAATTGCTTAAAAAGTGAAATAAATGAATAAATAAAATGATATGCGTTACACGTTGGTAATATTGTTAATAAAATTTCACGCACAATGATATATTGATATTTAATGTCAGTTGAAAAATTGATTTTTTATCGATTTTAAGAAAGTCCTTAAAAAAGAAAAAAAAAAAGAAAAAAAAATGATCAATACGATAAGCGTAGATAGTGAAATGAACGAATGATATCTGCGAATAATTAGAGTTATAACACGGTATAGTTATTTTAATATCGTCGATAAAATTTCTTATCGCTTTATATTAACATTCAATATTAAATGGATATCAGTAAAGCTGAAAGATAATTTGCTTAAGATTATATTTTATTCTGCGATATTGAAATTAAGAAATTATCAACGAGACAAAGAAGAAAATATTATACGAACGAAAATGATAGATACGGTGTTAGTTGAAATTAATTAAAAAAAAGGAAACAAAAAAATAAATAAATAAATAAAAAAAAAAAACAAGAAAAAATGGCGATTAAATTTGATATAAAAAATGATTTTCTTAATCAATGATAAATATTTTGTCAAATAAATGGTCAGTATATACGAACATATTGTTTGATATTTGTAATGTAATATCATAAACAATTAAATATCAAAATTCTTTTCGGGTTACGTTTTGATTTATTATTAATATTAATCGTCTCAACGTCGAATCATTCTATTTATATTTTTATATTTACAAAATACTCACTATTCTTTTATTAATCGACATATATTACGTATCAAGATATTTTATTACGAAACGAATATCATTCATTAAATCACTTTTATTTGCACAGAAGTACTGACTGAAAACGTTAAAAAAAAAAAAAAAAAAAAAAAACAAAAACAAAAACAAAGAAAAAAAAAAGAAAAGAGAAAAGATATCGGACCAAAAATAAATAACGTAGACGTATAATATTAATAAACCATTTTGATTCAAATTCAAGACAGGTGGGTGTTCATAAGAAAAAAAGAAAGAAAGAAAGAAAAAAAAAGAAAAGAAAAAAAAAACGAAAAATATAAAAAGGAAAAAAGAAAAAAAAAGAAAAAAAAGAAAAAAAGAAAAAAAGAAAAGATTCTTTATAGATAAAAATCAATAAGACTTACATTCACCGATTTTGGTATCTTCCTCAGGATCACGTCCGCGAAGAAGCCTGGATATTGCTGATACACTTGGTGCACTAGTCCTGTCGCAAATTCCTTCCTTAATCAATCGATCTCTTATCTCCCATGAAAATATACCAGGGTTGTCGCGTCTGTACTCTTCTATTCTTGCTTCGACTTCCGGCGTAGCAACTCTTGGCTTACTACCGCCAATAACTCCTGGCCTTATACTTCCGGTTTCCTGATATCGATTTAAAATCTTCGAAACGCATCCATGCGAAACACGCAGCTGTCTAACGGAAACGTATATAATACTTTTTATATCGTTCGAAAGAAAATTTGATAATATTATATTAATGAATTACGATAGTTGAATTTAATCGTAAAAATAATCGAATTTACCTGGATATAACGCACGGTCTTATACCAGCACCAGCCATTTCAACAATCTTTAATCGAATATGATTGGGTAATGGCCGACCGTTTATAAATACTCCTCCTAATTGATTAACACGGCCCTGTCCTGGTATTGATCCTAAATCTAAAAAATAGCATTAGAAAAGTGAAGAAAGAATATAATATACCAAACAAGTTATTTTCTCCTTTCTATTTAAGATTAAGATGATAAATAATAATATATATATATATGTTTCTTTTTTCATTCATCACGTCTCTTTCTCTCTTTCTTTTTATTCTCACTCTCTCTTTCTCTCTCTCTCTCTCTCTCTCTCTCTCTCTTTCTCTCTTTTTCTTTCTTTTTATTCCTACTTTCTTTCTTTCTCTCTCTCTCTCTCTCTCTCTCTCTCTCTCTCTCTCTCTCTCTCTCTCTATCTATCTCTCTCTCTTTTTCTGTCACTAACAAGAAAGTTATAAGAAAGGTATACAAAAGACGACAATAACTTTGACTACCTAGATAAGTCCAACTAAGCTGAAGGTTTATGACTCGCAATAATGATAGCGTATAATTTCCTTGGCTTATTTAATTTCGATTTAGACGAAGCATATATTAGATTGGTGCTCGGCGAAAGGAGCGAAAGAGAGAGAGAGAGAGAGAGAGAGAGAAAGAGAGAGAGAGAGAAATAACGTTCTTACAACGATCGTTCTTACAGTTGCCTTTCGATTCACATAGACTTTTAATTTAGAACTCGAGAATAGTATGCGAGAACACGAGTAGAGCTCGTTAATCGAAAGTTATTTCCTCTCGTTGTGTTTGTGTGTGTTAGTATGTGTGTGTGTGTGTGTGTGTGTGTGTGTGTATGTGTATGTGTTTGTATGCATAGAATGAACAATACAAATGGGAAACATAAAAAAAGTGATTACAAGTAGAGAGAGAGAGAGAGAGGGGGAGAGAGAGAGAGAGAGAGAGAGAGAAGAGATGAAATCAAAATGAAATTTATTTGAATGATCAAACGATCGAAGAATATTAAGAACAAAGAATCTAAAAAAAAAAATAAATAAATAAAGAGAAGGAAGAATATATATAAAAAAAAAAATTATGACGAGATTTCTTGACTTCTTAGATTATCGAACATCATCGAGAAATGTGTGCTTCGATTCTAAGAAAAATGTTACGTCGAACGGAAAAATATCATCTCAATGACAATACGAACGAAAAGTCTGATCAACGGTGCGAAACCGAATCGGAGACGAAAAAAAAAAAAAAAACACACAGAAGAATGATCTATCTTTCTTCGATAGATAAATCTTTTCTAGATATATTGATTCACGCGAATCATACCGTTACGATCATTCATTGAAGCAAAAAGGTTTTACCCAGAGATTAAGAAAAAAAAAAAAAAGGATAAGAGGATCTTCGCGAATCTTTACACACAAATACACACACATAAAGTAATATCTCGAATCTATCTATTTATCTATCTATCTATCTATCTATCTATCTATGTATATATATGTATATTCTAATAATAATAATTAAAAGAAAAGAGATGGTAATATTTATATGAATAAATTTATTATGATATAATAAAATATGATATAAATAAAATTATAAAGATATTTTTTTTCTTTCAAACGATCGAATATAATGATATTTCTATGGAAACTTAACTGGCAGTTGGTCGAAGAAAAGGAAAGAAAACAAATAAATCATTTGTTTAGGCAAATTCATCGATCGATCGATCGATCGATCGCTCTCGTAATCTCCGAGGGAGGAGGATGATAAAAAGAAAATGCGAAAAGAAAAAAGAAAAAATGAAGGAAAAAGATAGAGTCGACGGTGCATTAAAACCACGAACGATTGCATAACGAAAGTCATGCATCGCTTCCATCAGCGTTGGCCGAAAAAAAGCAAAAAAAGTAAAAAAAAAAAAAAAAAAAAAAAAAAAAGAAAAAAAGGAAAGAAAAGAAGAAGGAAAATTCGATCGAAACCGTACGATCTATTTGTTATTTATCATTTTATTATTTATTTATTATTATATCATTATTTTATTATTTTATTGTATACCGATATAGATCGTAATAATTTCGATTGTTATTAAAAGAGACTTACATTCTTTTTACGTCCCCAATTTTTTTTCTTCTTCTTCTTTTTTTTTTTCTTTTTTTTTTTTTTTTTATCATATTTCTTCTTCGTTCTCTTTTCTTTTTCTCTTCTAATTCTTGAAAATAATGTACAATCGATCGTCGATTTTTTTCCTTTTTTTTTTTTTTTTTTCTATTTTCAAAGAACTTCTTTATCGCGGGATTAATAGAACGTGTAATTACATGTATATATCGTAGAGACAGTGATTAACGATATTAATCAATTTTGCCTTCGTACAGTTAGAAACGATTAGACGATACTACGAACATTCACTGGAATTCAATATACATTTATATATATATATATATATATATATATATATATATATATATATATATATGCACACACATATATTTACTGTAACAGACTTATTGGCTTATATGCAGGACACTTTTATAAGGACACCTTTTATAAAGTACCATTGGCTAAAGATAAAGATACTATTGTTATTTATGACCAGGGTATATGATAATAAATTAAAAATTTTCGAAATACATTGCCTCTCGTAAAACTCATTACAGTTATCCTGTAATAGAGGGAAAGAAATTTTTTAAAATGTTCATAACCGACGGTGAACATACTGAAGAATATTAGCTGGAGACGATGATTGATAATTATAGTAAAAAAAAAAGAAAAAAAAAAAAAAAACGAAAAAGAAGAGAGAAAGGAAAAAAAAAAGAAACAAAAAAAAGATCCGGTACAAACAATCTTTTTTTTTTTTTTTTTTTTTTTTTTTTTTTTTATAAAGAGAGTCATCTTTTGACAAGAAATTTTAGAAAAATTTTTCAAACATTTCGACACTGTGGTGTCGTCAAAGTAAGTAAACGTAGTAACATCGAGATATTCGCGAGGATTCAGAGGGAAAGGAAAAAAAAAAACAAAAAGAAGGAAAAGAAAAAGAAGGCAGAAAAAGAAGAAACCATGAAAGGAAGAAAGAGGTAACAACGACGGTTGTCAAGGCGGTTTGTCAACTTTAAGGCGGATTTCTAATCTGAAAGAAAACTGGAAAAGGTCTTTCTCTCATAAAGCAATCGTAAATCTTTTAAAGAAAAATATTTCATAATTTATGATGTAACCATTAAAAATAACATTTAACGATCGATTTTAGACGATTTATATATCTCTTTAAAATTTCATTCAAAGAGAAATCGTTTTGTTTCTAATTTTTGTATCAAAAAAAAAAAAAAGAAAAAAAAAGAAAAAAAAAGAAAAAATAGATAAAGGAAAAGGAGATAAAAAGAAGTAAAAAAAAGAAGAAAAAAAAAAGAACAAGTAAAGAATAAAGAATAAATGAAAAACATTTAACGAAGTCAACGCAAAGGATAATATCATAATATCATATTATATCATAGATTAATACAAATAATGAAATCGATCAAATGTTCTCCCTATAAATATACAAATGGTATTATATACCATAAGATTTAATTTTTATTAGAATAAATAAAAACGTATTATTACCTTGAAATGGGTATCCAGTGAAACAGGGTCGCATCATCGAGAAATTAGTGGTAACCGTCATTTCAAGTAGTCCGAACTACTGACTACTTCGGACCTGCCCGCCGGCCACGAAATCTTGAATTCACTAAATCACTTCACTGATTTTTTTTATTAGATTCTCTCTCTCTCTCTCTCTATCTATCTATCTATTTATCTATCAATCTATTTATCTATCTATCTATCTATTTATCCATTCATCCATCCATCCATCCATCTATCAATCAATCTATCTATCTATCTATCTATCTATCTATCTATCTATCCATCTATCTATCTATCTATCTGTCTGTTTATTTTTCTTTATTTAAATTTCTCCAAAATATATATCACGAAGTATTTAAAATAACGGATAGATGTTAAAGATATGAAAAAATATTTTCGCACGTAATAAACACAACATATCAATATAACGAGGTAGTCACTTTTCAAAGCTATTGTTTCCTTCAGTAACAACACTAGATAATACACCAGGTATAATCCAACACACGTTGAAACGTTTTCAGTCCTTCTTATCTTTCTTCTTTGTTTTTGTTTTGTTTTTCTCTATCCCTGTTTCCCTTCCTTCTCTCTCCTTCTTACTCACTTACTCTCTCTTTCTCTCTCTCTCTCTCTCTCTCACTCTCTCTCACTCTCTCTCTCTCTCTCTGTTCGCGCCTCTATTATTTCTATACGTACAATTAATTTATAATAACCTCCATACATCTAATATTCCCAGATGGATCTTTCGATCTAACATCAGTAAGAACGACGACTCGAATACTACGAACAGATCGGCTTTCTGATCCTGACTAAGCTCGTCGTCAACGAGGAAGGCAAGTAACTAAGGATTGGCCACTCCCATCGTCGATCCTAAAAATTCTCTGAAAAAGCAAGTGGGGTAACTCCGATACAAAGTGGAATCCTCCGTTCCATGGCAAACTGCACTGTGGAACTTCGAACGAGAGACTTAGGGTAGGCGTAGCGAGTATTTCCAACCAACGAACACCAATCCTCGTACGAGTCCATTGCCAAGAGGCCACGCCTCCGACTTACATTAGAGTTCTCTTTCCAGAAGAGTTGAGTTCTACTATATCTTTTGATTATAGTCTTTTCTTTTTTTTTTTTAATACAAATTTCATTTGAAGGAATGATTATAGATATAATATATATTCCTTTCTTTATTATTATTATTATTATTATTATTATTATTATTATTATTATTATTATTATAACTATTATTATTATCATCATTCAAATTAATCAAATATATCTATTATTATACGTGATAGTGTAATGTTCAAAATAAAATCGAGCTATATACTTTGTCTGTATAATTTGACAGATAGGAAACTTTGAATTCTAAGGTTTCTTTTTTTTTGTTTTTCTCTTTTTTCTTGTTTTTTTTTTTGTTTTTTTTTATTGTTTTCCTAATCTTTATTGACTCATACAATTCGTCATAATTTTCAAACGTATACTTTATTATCTTGAAAGATATTTTGTATTATAATATATATTTTGTTACTTTTATAATTATTCAAACTAATGAGATATTTCTAATATTATATGAGATAATGTAACGATAAAAAGAAAATTGAAAATACTTTTTTTTTAATGGTTTTCAATGGTTCAGAATCGACAGTTAGAATTTTTAAATAAAAATTTTTCAATTAGATCTAATTTTATAAATATTGACTCATCCGATTTGTCATAATTTTCAAACGTGAAGTATAATATCTGGATAAATAAAAAAGTTAGATATTTTGTAATCTAACTTATGTTTTGTTGCAGTTATAATTATTCAGAATTATTCAAATATTTATTAATTATTCAACAAAATTAATCAAGTATTACTCGAAATAATGTAACGTTAAAAAAAAAAAAAAAAAAAAAACAAAAAAAAAAAATAGAGCTACTTTATCTGAACAATATGAATGATAAAAATTTTTGAATTCGAACATTTTTTTTTTCACAATCATTGACTAATCGAATTCGTTATAATTTTCATATAAATAAAATATAATACTTAAGAGATATTTTATATTTCAATTTATATTTCTTTGCTGTTATAAATTATTCAAATTAATAAAATATTTCTAATATTATTTGATATAACGTAACGTTAAAAAAAAAATTTTCAGGCTGTTCCGTTTGAAAGGATTCAGTTTGAACGAATGAAAATCGATGAAAATCATTGAATCAGATCTAATTTAATAAAAGTAGAATCATCCAATTTGTCATAATTTTCAAACGTGAAGTATAATATATTAAGTAAACAAGAAAACGAGATATTTTGTAATCTAACTTATGTATTATTTCTATTATAGACATTTGAGAGAACAATTTCCAAATGTTTTTCGAGCAAAGTAGGTAACAGGTTTGTGAACGCGATCATTATGGTTTTTCGTAATCATTAGGTTTGCCCGGTTCACGCATGATCGCGGATTACGAATAGGTCCTCTTTGTTTTCCCCTTTATCTCCCTCTCCTTCCCCTCTTCACCCCTTCCTCCCTGTCCTCACCCTCTCCTACCGTTTTCTACCGAAAGCCTTTTGATGATTCTTCGTCGTCGAGGAAATGACGATGCACGAGCCAACAGGATACGAGACGAAAGCAATCGGCCGTCGACTCGGAAATGCCATAATGAATTTCGAAAAGTTCTTAGAGACATAATTATTTTTAAATGAATAAAAAAAAAAGAAAAAAATACGAGAGAGAGAGAGAGAGAGAGAGCAAAGTAAATGAAAAATAAAAGAAACGAAAGAACGAGAAATAATGTAATTCGAATTCTCATGGACGTAATAATTAAATTCGTACAAATTTTTTTCTATAAGAAGATCGAGAAAAATATCGAATCCATTTGCAAACGTTTTTAATTCCTGTTTTAATTCGTTTAACTATTTACAAAAGAAAAAAAATCAATAATAACGTAACGTCAAAATTATAATATTGTTAATTGCAAATAAATAAAATTGATAATTTTGTATACGAAGTAACGACAAAGTTTGTCCGAGCAATAAAATGGATAAAATAAAGTTTGGTATATATATATATATATATATATATATATATATATATACATATGTATATATATATATATAAGAAAAAAACTACCACTACTACAAAAATATATAAACGTGTGACTTCAAGGTTGAACGATATTATAATAAATAAATAACATTCTAAACTTTGTATACGAACTAACGATATTGTTTGTTTGAAAAATAAAACAGATAAGACAAAGTTTAAGTATATATATATATATATATGTATATATATATATAAATAAAAAGAAATAAACAACAACTACTACTACAAATATTTCTATATATATATATATATAGAATATATATATAGAATATATATATATATATATATATATAGAAAAAAACTAGCACATAGTTAAGTATATATATATATATATATATATATATATATATATATATATATATATATATATATACTGCTACAGAAATATACAAGCCGTTTGACTTTGAGGTCTCAAAGGATGAATAGAAATGGTTAATCTATTATTTATATAGAAAAATAAAAATCCATCTTTAACTTCATTCCCATTCTATTCTATCCTTCTCACGATTCGCTAAACGATAGTCCAGTTTAACGTTCCAACTTCGATTCGTTCCGTGAAATCTCGATCCCTCCTCCCAATCCTTACCCTGTGTATCCTCTCCCCCGCATCAAACCCAGTCCCCCTTACCACCCCCCCCCCACCCCCACCCCGCCCTGAAAGAAGAGAAGATTTAGAATTCAGCTGAGTATATTGTTTCCCTTGTGTTCATAGAGATAAGAAATAAAAAGGGGGCAGGGGAAAGAAAAAAAAGAAGAAAGAAAAAGATGAAGAAGAAGAAGAAGAAGAAGAAGAAGAAGAAGAAGAAGAAGAGGAGGAGGAAGGAAAAAAAAAGAAAAAGAAAAAAAGGAAGAAGAATAAAAAGAATAAAGAGAAAGATGTCTTTTAGTTCGAAAGGAACACTGATGTTCCATCAATGTTTATTATCGGTCCAATGTGTTTGTACGTTATGGTACATACGTTCCAGTCATAGAGAAATGGCCAAACAGAAGACTAAATGGGTAAGAAGAGAGGATACGCATTATCCTAAAGATAGTAACTGAAAGAACGTGCCATTCGTCTATCTATCTATCTATCTATCTATTTACCTCGTCCTCGTCTTGTCGTCTATTCCTTTCCGTTAGAAAAAGAGAGAGAGAGAGAAAGAAAGTAACTGACAGACAGAGAGACAGAGAAAAAAATAGAGAGAGAGAGAGAGAAAGAGAAAGAGAGTGACAGAGAGACAGAGAGATAGAAGAATATCCGAAAAGTACCCCCCATGTGCGTCGAAGATGCAATAGGAGCGTTTTGCTTCGAGCGTTGGTCCTATCCCTGGTAAGATATCCCGTAGCGCGAGGATCGAACAAAACAAACTCCTTAATGTCTTCATGCGACTCATCGTCGTCAACTTTTCTTCTCGTGCCATCAAATATTTCGAAGGAGTCAAGTAATAGCTCCGACCATCTTTTTACCAGTTGGTAGCTCCGTCGGAAGACCGCGTTTCACTAACTACGTGAGATCATTTTCTTACCAACCTTCTCTCTCTCTCTCTCTCTCTCTCTCTCTCTCTCTCTCTCTCTCTCTTTTTCTGTGTTCTCTGTGTATCTTTTTCCTTCTTTTTTTTTTCTCTCCTTCTTTCTCTCTTCCAAGGTCAACTTTAAGAAAATCTATAACGTTCGTCATGTGTCCATTCGTCTACGACGATTTGAAGGACGAAAAAATCGATGATTCGTATATAATATGTTATTTGTCGTATGATATTACGACGTAATGATCACGTGTTTGGTTCACCCCCCTCCTACTAACCGTTTGAAAGAATTATACAAAAACATAGAAAAATCGAATAAAAAGGGATGCCTCGAATTTTGTTTGTTCTTTTTTTTTTTTTTAATTTTCTTCATTTTCTTTCTTTTCTCAATTTTTCTATTTTTTATTTTCTTTCTGGGGGATTTTTTCTTTTTTTTTTTTTTTTTTTCCTTTTCTTTTTCCTCTTCTTTCATCAGAATACGAATTCGTTCGAACTTTCGCGATCGAGTAAAAATTTTGTTACTTTTAATAATGTATAAATCTGTATAAGCTCATTCGTTAAAATAAATATATCATTTAATAAATTACACTGCTAGTGTCAGTGTTGATTAGATAGATAGAAATCTAATTAACCTTTGATTAACCCACGTGTC